TTAAGACTGTTGGACTTTTGTTTTCATTCAATGCTTAGTGGAAAGATACTGGCTCGTTATTCACGAGAGGCTAGGTCTGATTTGTTACCTTGCTCCTTTTACAGCTATGCAAAGCTGATGTGAAACACTACTATTCTGAATTAATTGGCACTTCATATTCACACTGAACTGGCAAAAATGGCTAGGTTAGACATAGGGCAGTGGAGAAGCAGGGAGGAAGCAGGCCTGAGACAGAGAAATAGATTTAATCAGGGGCAATATAAATTAGGTGATGAAATTCTCCACTTATGGGCATGACATCTTTTAGACTCTTTCAAAATAACCTTATTAAAATATATCCACTATTAACAGAAATTATGCAGGAGTGTTATTTCTTCTCTCTCCCGAATGAAGACATTTTAATGTAACTTATATTTTAATCAAAATATCCCCTTTTGAAATTTCCTCTCTGCCTTCTCTTACAGCTTCTGCAGTTTTGGACAATCTGAGATTTTTCTTTGTTGTTATTAGAGCCAGAAAAAAAGCCATGGCAGCAGCATCTCTAGTGAAATAGGAATCATTCACATGTCAAAGCAGTTAAAAGAGTTTTGATCACTTCAAACACTTTACCTAGGTATTTTCTTTAATTATAGAAAATTTTAGCTGCCATTATGTAACTCAACAGCACGTGACGTCACTTCATAAAATCCTCACTCCTTTCCTCCAGCCTATTCAGATCCTAGGAAGAAAAGAAATTCTGTTGTAAAATGTAAGGAGAAAGAAGATTAAGAACCACTAAATAATACAAGAGCAATCCATTGATTTGATTAGTGTTCAGGCCATTATTAGTGAAATAAAAAGAGATAGCCTTATTTTCAAAGATGTTAGAACACATAGAACTCCCATAGTCTTCATTAGATTTTACCAGCATTGCTCATCTCTGGACTGACAAGCTATCATGTTAAGCATGATGGCTGATCTCTGTTGGCCTTCGATGGTGGGCCAGAGAGAGCTCTTTTTTCAACCCCTTTGGCACGAATGAATGCTGGTCTCCTTAGAAAAACATACTTACTGAATTTGGTACTATTTGCTTGTAGCTTGCTAGATCTCATCTCAGATAATTAACAAAGAAAAATATTCAGAAGAAAAAAAGGGTAGGGGCAATATAAATTGGGGATCACGAACATAAATCAATGCCAATGATATATTACAGATTCATTTGTGGCAAGGTGCTAAATTTCTGCATCCCAAGCAGCTAGAGGTGATAAATCTACCAGAGATGGGTGCCAGGGAATGAATTTTCAGGCCTGATTCTCAGGCATTTCTGCACGTCTTTGTATCAGCCAAGGGACTGGGGAACTGTAATGGGCCCTTTATTAAAAGGTTGCTCTCCATTGCCTTCTCCTTTCAGTCTGTGCAGACTTTCTTCTAAAATAAAAAACAAGGCCCTTTCAATATTGAAGCATGGAATGACGAAGGAGCATTTTTACTTTCCAAATATAAAATAGGTTTTAGGATTACATAGTAATTTAACAGAGAGGAAAAAAAATTGGAAAAGAAATACTGGGATTCTTCCTGTCAATACCATTGCTCAAACATGGTTTTATGAAATCTTGAAAGCAGACCCACATTTCCAAAGCTGCAAAGCATTCAAGAACATGCCCATCCCTGGGAAAGGGCTCTGGATGTTGTTAACTACAGACAGAAAGAAGCAAACGTTTCATGTTCATTTAGCAGGTGCTACCTGCTCTGCTGAACTGGGGACTAAAAGTTCTCAATTACCCTCTGAAGCCAAGGTGTGCACACACAAGGGCTAACAGTAAGAGAGATCATGGGTGTGATGTTCTCTACTGATGACACTGCTAGCATGTACCACTGCAGATAATTTAAATGTCCTGTCAGAATTTGTTATTTCTTCCCTTTAATATAACAAAACATCATTTTTCAAGATGCTGTGCAAGGTCAGCCTGAAGGGTGTCCTAAGGAGGAAAAACTCACTCAGAAGAGATATTCACATACACCAAGAGGAGAATTGCATTTGAGTCAGCATAAAGAAAGGGGCCTTCTTTATAGACACCTTAAAATGCAGAATGGTTTTATTTCCCTCTCTGCTTCTTATCTGTGAGTGCTACCTGACTTGAGGAAGTGTCAGCATTTCCTTCTGCAGCTTGAATTCTCAGGGCTCTATGACTACAGTAAAAATCTGCTCCAGGCTGAAATAGAACAGACATGCTGAGGCTGCTAGAAATGTTTTCCTGAGTTCTTGGATGCTTTTTGTCTCTTGTTTTACTCATACTCAGACAATTGGGGTATTAACCTCTACTTAATTAAGCTCTAAGCGTTAACAGCATCATACACAAACCAACTTTGACCACTTAAAAGACTCTTCAACTTATTTTTCAGGGGGACTGTTGATATACTTAAGTCAGTAACATTAAAATGAAAGCATATAGAACCTGTACACATTTATCTAGGATCACAAGGCACATGACAAACACCAGCTGGTATTTTTTTTAACCTATTTTACAGATGGAGAAACTGTGCATGGAGAAATTTCCCTGTTTAACAGGAGAATGATAAAAAGATACCCTGAGTCCTGCTTCTCAATTTCCCTAACCTCCAGATTGCTTATCTTCCAGGCAACTATTTCTATTAGACATTGATTTTAGCACATATCAGCATGTATATTAGATCACCACATAACAATGCTATGATAGCCTGAAGCATTTAGGGGAAGGTACTGGGTTTTTTTAAATCTGTGACAATGGCTAGGTTCTGATCACTTTGGCAACAATGACAGATTTGAAAAGCAGAAAAGCCTGTTTGCTTCTGTATCATTCCAAGCTTATTTGCTCTTACTGGCCAAACACTGGCACAGGCTGCCCAGAGAGGCTGTGGGATCTCCAACCTTGGAGATATTCAAACCTGGACCGGAAAAGACCCTGAGCAACCTGGTCCAACTTTGAAGTTGTAACAAATGACCTCCAGAGGGTCCTTCCAACCTAAATGATTCTGTGATTTTATTCTCTGTCAGTGTCTCTGTATTCTATTAAATGGTTCACCTCAAACTGTGGCAAATCCTTGCTTTTGACTTTGTTTGCCAATATGGAAGGTCAAGCATAATTCTGCACCAGGTCTACCTGGGAAAGCGGACTGGAGGAACTTCTTGATTGCAGGAGAGCTTTGGTAGCTTGAAGCATAGGTTATTTTTAACTGGTCTATTCCTTTAGCAGCAATTTCTTTTAGATTATTGCACTGCATTTACTGGCAACAAACAAATTAGAAGAAACTAGTTCTTTTTAACCCCTATTTTGGCTACACTGCTGAAGAAGGGACATTACGAATAACAGGACACTATAAGAATATTTGAATAATATTCTCATTACCACAGTTGCTCATGCTCATGAAGAGAGTGAAATAATCTTATGTGACATTTCTTGTCAAGGTGACACACAAGACAAACAGGAAGATAACAGATGTAGGGAGTGAAATGGAAAGAGGTATTACCATTACTGTACCTCTCCAATACAAAAAGAGGCTTCTTAGGTATATGCAAACTACTTAATTGATTAAAGGAGGACTGAGCAAAGGAATTGTGGTTACAAGAGTTGTGAATTTTGGCCTGACTGTACCCCTCAATTATGCTGGAATACAACCGAGAAATGTGCTTTAGGCTGAGGAAAGCCTGAGAAAAGCTGAGAGTTGGAGTTGTTCAGCCTGGAGAAGAGAAGGCTCCAGGTAGACCTTACTGTGGCCTTTCAATACTTAAAGGGGACTTATAAGAAAGATGTGAACAGACTTTTTAGTAGGGCCTGTAGCGATAGGACGGGGTAATGGTTTTAAACTAAAAGAGCATAGATTCAGACTAGAGATAAGGAAGAAATTTTTTTACAATGAAGGTGGTAAAACAGTGGAACAGGTTGCCCAGAGAGGTGGTAGATGGCCCATCCCTGGAAACACTCAAGGTCAGGTTGGACAGGGCTCTGAGCAACCTGATTGAGTTGACAATGTCCCTGTTCATTGTGGGGGGGGTTGGACTAGATGACCTTTAAAGGCCCCTTCCAACCCAAACTATCCTATGATTCTATGAAAAGCAGGAACTGAAGCAGAAGAGGCAAATACTCCTAAGATAAACACTCAGTGACTTTGGGGACTGGCACCATCTTCACTGTAACTTGTTTAATCCAATTGTAATCCAAGAGCCTTGAAAAAGATTCATCTAGTTCTGGTACAAGTCTTATATTGTAATGAGAATCTCTTCAAGAAAACCTTGTCTGGTAAAATCCAATAGATCTGTCCCCTTTTGGATCAGCTGACAGGCTTACCTGAAACGTCTTTCTTCCCCTTTCTGTCCTCCACCCCCAAAAGATCTGGAGAAGGGAATGGAGAACAGAGATGTTTACTCTAGGAGAGCTCAGATTGATATGTGACTGTTCCTCAACCTGTCCCTGGGATTTGGTAAGAAAGTCTGATGATGCCAAGCAGGACTCTGCTTCTTGCTGTAGAGCCCACCTGAGACTGCTGCTAATATTTACTAGCACCTTATTGAGATCTGAAATACCACGACCGTCACTAAGCTGGGAGCAGGAGGCAGCCACCATAGCACTGACACAATGCTTTGAAAAGACTCTTGCATGACAATTGTCCTAGAAGGTGTGCTCTATCTTTAAGACCAGGAAGTAACAGAAGACCAAGTTCAGGAAGGTAGAATTTCAATATGTCCTTAACCTTAAATCTCACAGAAAGCTCTGAGATGTAAGTGCCTGCTTAAATTTATACTCTCGCTAAAGTGCTATCTGTATAGGAATGGATGTTAGCATGTACTTACATACTGCTCTCCCTCCAAATTTGAATGTTAAGCTCCCTTTGCAGGTGAGACTTGGCATCTTAAGCCCACAGGAAGAAGGCTTGGCATTACCTTTAGTTTTAATACAGCTCTTGTCTCTCCCTGGTGTTTCAGAATCAAAGCCCCTGTACTTAACCTACTGTTTAACATTTCTCTCATATCTTTCTTTCCACAGTATGTGGCATTTGCCTCCCTCTTCTTCATTCTGGTCTCCATCACCACCTTCTGCCTCGAGACCCATGAGAGATTTAACCCCATTGTGAACAAGACAGAAACTGAATTCATCGGGAATGACACCCAGGTGCGGCACTACAGGGAAGCAGAGACTGAAGCCTTTCTCACCTACATCGAAGGTGTCTGTGTGGTCTGGTTTACATTTGAGTTCTTGATGAGAGTCACTTTCTGCCCAAACAAGGTGGAATTTATCAAAAACTCTTTGAACATCATTGACTTTGTGGCCATACTGCCTTTCTATCTAGAGGTTGGACTCAGTGGCCTGTCTTCCAAAGCTGCTAAGGATGTCCTGGGCTTCCTCCGTGTAGTCCGTTTCGTGCGAATCCTGCGAATTTTCAAGCTGACCCGCCACTTCGTTGGGTTGCGGGTCTTGGGACACACCCTCCGCGCCAGCACAAATGAATTCTTGCTGCTCATCATATTTTTGGCATTGGGCGTCTTAATCTTTGCCACGATGATCTATTATGCCGAGAGAATAGGTGCTAAACCAAATGACCCTAGTGCCAGTGAACACACACACTTTAAAAATATCCCCATCGGCTTTTGGTGGGCTGTTGTCACCATGACGACCCTGGGCTACGGAGACATGTATCCTCAGACTTGGTCAGGCATGCTGGTGGGGGCCCTCTGTGCTCTCGCTGGTGTGCTGACCATTGCCATGCCTGTCCCTGTCATTGTGAACAATTTCGGAATGTATTACTCCTTAGCTATGGCTAAGCAGAAGCTACCAAAGAAAAAAAAGAAGCATATCCCGAGGCCACCCCAGCTGGGATCCCCCAATTATTGTAAATCTGTCGTAAACTCTCCACACCACAGTACTCAGAGCGACACTTGCCCACTGGCCCAAGAAGAAATTTTAGAAATTAACAGAGCAGGTAGGAAACCTCTTAGAGGAATGTCCATCTGACCGTTAACCTCCATCCCGCGTAGTGATTTAAGATTCAGCCAGACTGCTTTCTTAGAGCAATGGGTAGCACATTTATCCATTCTAGTCCCACCATCACACAGTGAATAATATGTGTGAAGTCTAGGTTGCAGGGACAAATGGTACAGTGGAGGCTGATCAGCAAAACTAAGGATGAGAGCACGCTCTAGGAGCCCAAACTTTGGTCCTGGTTAAGGGCATACAAGTCTCAAGATATTTTGAAGAGCTGTTACATCTAGTGAAAGAATTTTGAGAGTTCTACAGCTATGTTGCTGGACTGTGTAATGCATCTCAGAGGCTCCTGAGAGCTGAATGCTTCATAGAGCAGAGTAGGAGCCAAATACTCAGCAATTACAGTTTTCTGACAAAACAGGGCTGGAATTCGAAACAGCCAGATGCTTTCTCATTTGTTCCCATTTGGGACTTTTCAGCTGTTTTAAATGGCAGATATTGTACATCTCATTACAGAAACTAGGTGCCTAGTAAGTTGAAGGGACAACTATACCATCATGCATATTCATGAGACAATCCCGTCTCTTTCTGATTATTAACTGCAAAGTAGAACAACAGCTCAAATTCTTGACACTAATGCAAAATGACTCACTCTGAGACAAGACTAGATGTAAGGATGTTTATTCCATGGTATGCAAATCAATCTATTCTATAATATTACACTAGAATTTAGCATTTAGAACTATGAAGAGTTTTGAACCACATTTTCTAAAACACACTCCTTTTGCAAGTATGGGTTGGTGAGTTACAGCTCTTTCAACCTTCTAGCAGCAGAGGCCAACTAGAAAAGGTCTGACTGGTCATTACTGGCTGGTTTGGCCTAAACAGTGATCGCCTCATAATACGGTATTCTTATTTTTAATTATGCTGATTCATGTTAGCAATATGTGAAACCAGAGCAAAATTAATCATAGTAATTCTGCTGGGAGGGGGGAGGGAAATGGAAAAAATACTAGTCACCATGGAATATATTATAATATCCCATGGCTAGTGGTTAATTATGGGAATATCTCAGTTTTATGAGAATCCTCCTATAGCACATAAAGTTACGGGGCTCCAATTTGATTATTTAAACCCCATAATCTACCTCTACCCATGGAATATCACTATTTATTCTATGGAGTAATTTCAAAGTAGATAACCATGTTGAAAACAAAGCCAACTTCATTTTTGGCAGATGTTCCAGCCAAGTTGCATAGTAGACATTCTTCAGCCTATTCAGAATATCCCCCTGTATTGTATTAGATAGAACAGATTGCCAGTCAAGTGATTTTAACAGACATCTAGTCAAAAAGAGATGTTTTGAAAGAGCTAGCATATACCTATGATGGTCTTGTGTTATCATTTTTTTTACTTTGAAGAAAATTCTAATTTGTTACTCATTGTGAGTGAGGTATTCTCTTGTCATCTCATAGCCATGCATGTTGATGTCATTGTAAGAGGCACAAAGAAAGTTAGACTTTCCTTTGTGTGTGACTTCACCAATGCCAATGCTAATTTTGGAGGGGAAGAGCTGGTGGGAATCTTTCTCTTCTTTTCTCTTCTCTTCTCTCTTCTTTTCTTATTTCTTTTCCCTCTTGTGCAACTATGTAAAATCCATTCAGAAGGTAAATAGCTTTCTTTTTTTTGTTGTTAAAGGCTATTCCATTGCAACAGGCCAATCACAATTCACATGACTGATAGACTGTCTCTTTCCTATTGTATCTATGGCGCATAAGCGTATGGTTTTATCATCCATTCCCCTCAGGTTGCAAATGCTTATCACAACTCATGTCCAAGCAGCAAACTTCCTCATAAGTAGATGTCTTTGTGGCATCATGTATCAAGAGGGAAAGAGGGCACAAACTATATTGCATGTCTGCTACTGTCAGCAAGATGCCAACTACCCAATTTCAATGCACAGGAGATGCCACACTCTTGAGTAGTTTAGCAGTCAGCTACAGAGTGACTTTCTTCTCAGAAATCCCTTGCTTTAGAAAGTTCTTTCCATTACCTACCCTGGTCCTCTCTGGGAACTAGAGGACTAAGAACTCTACGAGTTCAGTGCAATTCCACACTGGTATCCTGAGAATACGTGTAATTTTGGTTCAATGTGGAACTGTTTTGCCACCATCAGTGCTCTAAAATCAGCTGTTACCACAATATCAATGATGTATTGATAGTAACAGCAACTTACCTACTTCTGCAATAATCGAGAGACTATTTTTATATATGAATACAAGCATATATATTTTAAGAAGTAACAAAGCACACTTATACTTCAGCTAACAAAATGGACTCAGTAACACTGTTGCTGGAGTTCTGTTTCTGATAATTATTATGCACCAGTAGCAGCAAAAAATACTGCCTGCCTCTCTTAGCTTCCTAATAGGGCAAGATCTATATGTGTGCAAGAGAAAAGTAAAAAATAGTAAGATCAGAACCGAACTGTTAAAACAAGATCTGCATTGCCTTGGATGTTGAGGTTCACTTATGAGATATGAAGCATTCATAGGCACTGACTTGTTCCTGAAACTATAACCTGCACATTATATGAAAACAGAGACTTGCAAGCAATGAATGTTGCCCACACTGTAAAATATTTGGATTGGTTAACAGCACCTAACTGTAAACAACCTGTTAACATTGTACAAGGAACACAAAATGGGTGCCTAACTTTTCTAAAAAAATGCCTGAGTTGTCCAAGATATTTTTTGTAATTTTTCACTGTAAAGCTTCAGTGTGACAGTGTCTAGGTGATAAAAGGTCATATGATGTATATCTAACACATTATTCCAAAAAAGCCTGTTTAACTCCTCAGGTGTGAAGGACATCACATGAAGTTATTAATTCCATATATTATGTGTGGTGGAATGATTAAACACTTCACAGAACAGTGATGAGTATGAAATAATTCCACATACGACTATCTCTCTATAGTCCTCTCATGCACCAAGTCAGCAGTTCACAGCTGTTCTTGGTCCATACACACGGGCCCAAGGGGGCTCTACGGAGAGCTCTGCACAGCCACGGCCCAGTGCCTCCTCTCAGGCTAAGGAGCACTTTACTGGCACGGACATGTAAACAGCAGAACTTTGCCCAGAGGCTGCACAGCTGCTGCCAATGATGTTATCGTCATTTGCAGGCAAAGCAAAGATGGTTTGAATTTAAATTCTGGTAGGTTTGAATTAAATTTTTAAATTGTCCCCAACACTCTCAGCAGCTCAGTCCTGGGCTAATCTACACCTGGCAGGAGGGTATCTTTAAATAACAGCACTTGATTTTAATTTGATATAAAGAATGTCAGAGTTTGATTCTACCATGCCTCCCCTTTCTGCAGCAATCCTTCCTGTTCTCCATCCTGTCCGATCCCATAAATGGGTGGCTGGGAAAGCAGCAGAAGGGGAGGAAAGGTACTTCAGAGTAGAGGATGGCAGAGCTACTGCTGCAAGCAGGCTTTCACCAGCAGCATTAAGAAAGTAGAGATTTCCTCTCTACAAAAAAATCTTCTTCAAGGTAGTTTTCAATGCCTGCAAATTCTCAAGATACTGCTTATATAATGCCTGGAGGAACTGGGCCTGATACAAAGGAGCAGATCTCACCTGACCAATGTGACTAAAACTCTTTGGCTGGGGATATCTCAGACTATAGAGGACCAGGTGTCCCCTCACTTAAAATATACACACCAAATTCTAGCATCACCATGTCAAACTATCAACTTTGTTATGTTGCAATGTTCTTTACAGGCCCCATTCAAGATCAGGGCTTCATTTTGCCATTGTTGTATATGTGACAACCACTATATTACAATCAAATACCCGACAGGCTAAGTCGACAGCAAAGAGAAAATGGAAGTAATCTCCAGTATTTTCATTTGACACATGGCTTAATTTAATTGAGCAAGATCACTTGAAAAGTCTGTGGCAAAGCCACTAGTTGAATATAACTAAATAAGCATCAGTCAACCATAGTCTGCTGTGCTGCAGTGTCTTTTATCTAAAGGTTTCTGAGTATTCCAGTCAGTATCATAACAGAAGCAAAATAGAAAAAAAGCAAAGCAAAATTTGCTTCAAACAGAAGCAAAACAGAACAAGCCAGTTTCAACCACTTAAACTTAGCTGATTTCTGTCCCAAACCACACACTGTCCTACAGGTATGAGTAATTTGTCTCAGTATACATAGTGAAATACTTTAAGGTACAAGTTTGTAAGAAAATCAAAACATGCAAAACAAATCTTGAAAGCTCTCAGTTTGCTTTTGAAGTGTTACTCAGCTCTTCAGTCCCTCTATTTTGTGAGCTGCATGCTTACCTGAAGGATAGGCTGACTGCATCGTTCCATCTTAAAGTTGCCATAGGATGAAGTGGTGAATGTCATTTTCCAACCCTGTAAAAGAAATTTAGAATATGAATGGAATTCATAACTTCGTTTGATGTCTACAGTACTGTGTGGTGCCACAGAGCAATGGTCTTAAGAATGCATCTATAATACATAAGCACAGGTGATGGGTTATTTTGGGGTTGTTCAGAGATCCACCCCAACCTTTTATTGTTTTTGTGTATATATATATATATATTTACAACACCAGCACTCACAGTGTTTATATTGACTTTAATATGGCCAAAATAAGAACTTCTCACCTCTTGGATCCCCTCTGCATGCAGCTTCACTTAAGCTATACTCCAAGGATATCGTATCTTCATACAAATGTATTGTGCAGCCTTTTCACAGTGTATTGATGGCAAAATTCTCTACTCATTGCGTAGCTGTAAAGGAATGTAAAAATGGAAGAAATATTACTAGAATTCAGGTACCTAAGAGAAGAGGGAAAATGTCTGTCATTACTAATACAGTCTTCAGCTTCAGAAAAACTTCTGTGGTTGTTTTACTTACATGCCCAAAACAAAAAAAAACAATTTTCCATAACCCACTCCTTGACTATTCCTATGTCTGAATAGTT